TACGCTCGCTCCATCTCATCGGAGCCTTGCTGCTCGTTCGGCGGGCGGGGTTGCGGAGTTGGCTGAGAAAAGGAAACTCGAGAAGTACCGGGAGCTTGAAAGCCGCTATATCGTGCAACCAGTTGCGTTCGAAACGTTGGGTATCTTCGGAGGGTCCACGGAGAACTTTTTGAGGGACTTGGGCAAGAGGATCGAGACAGAATCGGGAGACACACGAGCTACGGAGTTCCTGCTGCAGCGTATGGCGATTGAGGTTCAGCGAGGGAACGCGGCCGCAGTACAGGGCTCCCTTCCTTTCTCGGACGGACTGCCTGGTGTGGGATAGTTGGGCTGTTTTTGGCCATCCCAATATTATTACTTGTTATAACCTAAATAAAAAACACCATTATATATCTGGGTTTTGTTATTAGGCTCAGCAAGAAAAAACGTTCGAATTAGAGATTTTAGCGGGTGGTAGGACATGGCTGGGGTTCGATTTGGCCGCGTTGTTGTCGGGCTTTCTCTCTGTATGGCCTTCTTTCCTCTTCGGTCATCTTTCGCCATGGTTCGTCTGTCACAATTTTGAGGGTTTCTATATCGTGTATATTGTGTTTTTTCTGATATTCTAGTGCGAAAATCCAGTATGGCTGGGGTTTACTGTTGGAAATTTAGACCACTGAGCTCAATTGGGCGACGGTTGCTTTGGATCGAAGATGTAGTAATGAGGGAGCCAGACTGAACAAAGAGGAGGGTCTTCGTAGAAGGCTACGGTCAGAGTATTCTTTATTGAACAGACTCAGCTTATATAGTCTAGAGGTGACAGACACAGAGAGGGTAACGTAGACCGGTACAGAAGTTCATGGAGTCATTGACATGGCCATTCCACGGAAAATCTACAGGGCAATGGCCTATAGTCCACCTATCCAGGATTCGCACTACAGAAGAACGGAGCAATGAACTACGTATTATATCAACATTTACATTTCTTCTTGGGTTTCACTGATTCTTGGTTAATATCTGGGTTTTGTTATTAGTTACGAGGTCTGCTCGAGTGAGGCGGTGGAATTATTAAAATTGCTAAACAGTACAAGTAGTTCAGACGATTCTGCTCGATCTTGACGTAGGAATCTACAGCGAATTGTTGGAATAGTTTACAACCGTGTGAAATAGGGTTGAATGATTATCGGATGGAGGGCAGAAAAAAATGATACTGTTTCTGAGTAATTCGTTTTCCTTCTGTATCGTTCGAAAGCGGGTGCCAGCCGTCTTCTCCAGTCGGGAAAAAGCGGTTAAGTCAGAGGATCACAACGTTTGTCCAAATGCGAGGTACTATGAATTTCTCCACTCTTATCATGAATAATCAGAGATCTTTCTTCGGGGACGTCGCCATCCTCTCCAACATATATGACGGCTACCTAGTTCGCTGTCGGGAGGCGCGCTCTACGTCGGCCATCATTCTGAACGACTTCGCGTAAGGATTGTTCGAAGACAGGAATTACCCAAAGCGTCAACAATGGAGGGATTGCATCCCTGATTCTGCGACAGAGAAATTCTATGGTTTGTTGCTTCCGCTGTGTCCAGGATGTATATTTGACCAAATGTGCGGGGCTCGCCCGGCGCAGGAATAAGTGACCCGATATTGTGGTAAACTTGACCGTGGAGTCTGAAACAATACGGACCACGTCCTTGCGGAAATTCTATGTTGCCGCCCATAGAGGCCATGGCCAACGATGAATTGAAGTTTCGTATAAGGGCATGAAAATTCTTCTTCATCATTAATTGTCGGACACGGACAACTGGGCCAAAAACCAACTGGGCCAAAAACCAACTGGGCCAAAATCAACTGGGCAAATGAGCCAACTGGGCCAAAACCAACTGGGCAAATGAACGAACTGGGCCAAAACCAACTGGGCCAAAACCAACTGGGCAAGACTGAATCGGACCGGGAAATAGGTTTCGATTGGAAATGCCCTCTGTTCGGAAACTATGATTAGGAATTCGGAAAAAGGGGTGATCTTTACCTAAATTAAAAACTCATGTTTTGTCTTCTTTAAATCAATCGCTGTGACACTTGACTCTTTTGTGCCATCATGTGAGCGCTCTGTCTTTCTCGGCCCTTCGGTTATTCGCTCGCCCAGCGACCCAGTTTTATTGCGCGAAAACTACCAACGACCGTGGTGGTAGTTCGCTTGCTGTTGAGGACTGGGGAGCGAAACTACGCGTCCATGAGGAAATTGTGAGCTATGCCTCGGAGGTATTCTACATGCTGTAGATGTTCGGCACGCTCGACCACTCCCAGGATTCGCTCGTCTGCACGAACGTACTTGGTCCTTTTTGTTGGAGGAGCACCGCCGGCTACGAATGATTCGACTTGTAGGTCACGGCCTTTTTGGACTTTCTTAAGCCCGTCGATGAACTTCCAAATTGTCGGATGCTGTATCCCGAATTCAACCTGGAGTCTGCGATGTGCCGCCTCCGCATAGTTATTCGTGCGGGCTTCTCCGTCGAGCGTTCTCTGGTATACTGACCACATCTCGACCGGGAACTGCGGTGTTCTCCGGTCTACGGTACCGTCGGCTCGGATCCGGTTCATACGCCCTATGTAAATGTCCTCGAAATAGTTGAGAACTGGAATCAACTCTTCCGGCAATACAGGCGAAAGCTCCGCGACTGCATTATCTAACTCTGACGGCGGAACGAATGCCAAAGCAGCTATCATTCGGGCTTTCAGTGCGAAGTCGTCATCGTTGGTATAGCGACTCCAAAGACCTTCCTGAGCTACGCGTAGTTTGATGTTCTTCACCAAGTGGAAGAAGCATCCCTGAATGCGTGTTTCGGGCGGGAAGCAAGCCCTGACCGCAATCATCATGGCCGCTCGTAGTCCATGACCACGCTGGCGGGACAGAGGGCCGGCCAAGCCTCTTTCAAGAGATTCAGCATCCGAGTGTACGATTCGGCTGCTTTGGTCTGGGAGCAACGCGTAGGCGACGGGCACAACGCACTGAGCCCGCTCGGCCAGAACTACGAACACCTGTCAATTGAATCCGAGTTTCAATAATCAGGAGCTTGAAATTGTTTCAATAAGACATTCGATCATTCTGGAATCGACCAATAGAGACCTGTGAGAATTGCGGCGGCGCGAGACTGAAAGTTCCATTGACATACAATTTGTCGACGAGGCCGATCCAGGAGCTCGACGATTCTCTGCCGAATACCAAGATCCGATTCGGATCTCCGACGCCGCTGTCCGCCACCAGGAAATTTTCAGAAACGCCCGGCTCGCCTCATAGATCCTGTACGCTTCGGGTATGACAATGGAACCGCGAGAGTCCGGATTCGATGGAGCCGCAGAGCGGGCGTTCCGATGACGATTGATGAGACGAGAAATCGACTGGGGTCGATTCATGCGACCGAGCGTAGCCGTCGTCGCTGTGACCAAAGCCGTGTTAATCAAGGAGGAAGGTGCCTCACTTGTTTCTTCGCAACGTCGTTTGATCGTCGAGGTGATTTTGGCGACCTCTACACCTGAGGGATCTGGCGGATCAGAGTGGATGCCACTTGTGCGGATAACTTCCCGCGTACTCATCAGAGTATAAGCTCTCGCCTTGCATGGAATCGGTGCGGTTTTGTACATACACCGCCAAGACTGCAAGCCGCTCTTCAGGACGTATGCTTTGACAAAGAGATGGCCATCGTGGGCCAATTTCTCCTGACCTCTCTGACTCGTAACGCCCGAAGTGGATTCCATTTCTCATCGAGCTGGTGATAATTATAGAAAAGAAAGAGACTAGTTGATTTTGAAAGGAAGCAGCTGGGATTATGCGAATACAATTTAATTTTCTGACGACGATCTTTATCCTATTCCACGTTGCGCCCAGATGAGTCGATCGAACATACTTGACAATATGGAACTAGAGTCTATCCTTATCGGGAGGTCCACCAGTCGATCACAAATACTCTCCTCACTTCAACAACAAACAAAAGCGGGGAGAGATCGACGTCGGATCTTCGTGCGACCAAGTCAAGTCGCGAGCTGCCGTGCGAGCGACATCCCCTCAACTCACTTTACAGCTTAAAGGCGTCTCTCGATGGTCGCCAATATGAGCTCGGTATTGTCTCCGATCGTGTCTGTTCGTGTCTGTTGGGTCTTTGGCCCAATTTGTTCTTGGCCCAGTTGGTTTTTGGCCCAGTTGGTTTTTGCCCAGTTGGTTTCTTGCCCAGTTGGTTTTTG